TTCACCGATACTGCCGCCTTCACGACTGGACCCAGAAGAAGTGTGGCCCTCATGAACTTTGCGCTTAGGCCTGGAGAGTCGGAGACAGATTGCAGAAGGAGGATGCACGAGATCGTGTCAGGGGTGGCCGCTGCTAAGCCTTTCACCTCGCACCAGCGCAGGATGTGGGCCACGTACTCGAAGACCAAGCAGCAGCGCGATGTGGCCGGCCACTGCTCCTGGACCAAACGTACCCTGGCGAGCTTCAACAAGGAACTCTTGCAACACATTGACGCGGAGTACGGCACGGGGACCATCTGGCTGGGAGACAAGGTCGTGGCTAGTGTTGCTCGTGCGCCACCGCAGGGGACCGAAGGGGAAGCAATGCTGTGGGATGACGATAAGCCAGGGACTCGGCCGTGGGTGGACCTTGGGGCGATCGCCAAGTTCTCGGGGATCTCGATGGTGGACCTTAAGGCAGGGTTTGGGGAGCATAAGCGCTGAACCACGGAGCTGGCCATGGACGAGCTTGGCAGAATTGAGCTCGGGGTGCGGGACCTTGCTAATAGAGCGGAGGCCCCTCACGCCTGCGCTGTGCATGACTCCTTTTCATTGCGAGCAGATGCTGGTAGGGGTCCAGTACAGGGACCCCCGTCGGTGCCTGCGCCACAAGCGGCTATTCCGTTCACAGCTTGGAACCTAGGGGGCATTGCGGCTACCGACTACCCCCAGGTGGTGGCTGATGTGATGGCTCAGCTGCCGAAAGATGCCTTGCTCTCCTTTCAGGAAATGTGCAGGGATACGCCGGGATGGCAGACGGCTTTCCATGGAACTTGGACGACTTTGCAACACCGACATGCTGATGTTTGGCGAGGTACGGGTATTACTTTCAATGCTGCTCGCTGGAAGGTGATGCGGAAAAAGGCGACGGATAGAGGGATTTGGCTGAGGCTTCGACACGTCGGAGGGTTGCAGATCTGGGCGGGGACGGCTCATTTCACACCAGGGTGCACACAGCCACAGCATGCCAAGGAAGTACATGACCACTTGTCAGGACTGCCACCGACAGCACTTCCGACTGTGCTCTCCTGCGACTTGAATGCGGAAATCGCCTGGGGCTATGATGACGAGGGGTGTTGCAGGGCAGTGGCCAATAATGGAAAAACTGAGGATTTTCTAGGGCAATGCCTGCGTCGCGGTCTTCGACCGGCCGAACCTCGGCCCTGCGATCACGTCACACCGACGAGCCGGCCCAGGCAGGCTTCTCGGCGTGGGAAGCAGATTGACTGTGTGCTTAGCACGGACGGAGTAGCTGGCACACTGTGCATCCACAAGGACTCACATTTGTCCATTGGAACGGACCATGAGCTTCTTTCGTCGTTACTAACTTTTCGAGCCCCTCGGCGTGGCGAAGTTTGCAGCACACAACCTAGGGTTTGGGTAGGAGGGCCACAGCGAATTGATGCTTTGGACCAGGACAAGCTTGCCGAACTGGCCAGGACGGCCACTCGACCTAGGCGGGGCGCGGCCTACATTGACCCGGAGAACGTCGATCAAGACCGCCTTCCGGACTGCCCGGTTGACGAGGCAGGCGAGGGACTGGACTCAAGCGCGCCACTTGCGCAAACGGGCGAGAAGAGAATGGGAGATGCAACGGCTTGAACGTGCTACTGCGGGAGATTGGGGACAGGTGAAGTTGCTCAAGCCGGTCAAACATAAGGGTTGGGATGTGCAGTTTGCAGAAACACAGCAGGAACAAGGACGAGATCCCCACCAGGCCATCCACACACACCTTCAGCACATCTACACAACCGGGCTGGTCATTCCCCCGCTCCCCCCCTGGGAAGGCGAAGTGGTTCCCTTCGCTGATCATGAACTCCGTTGGGCCCTTCATCGGGGCAAACCGAATAAGGCAGTGGGGGTTGATGGGACCAGTCATGAGCTCCTGCTAGGCATTGCTGCCACCCCCGGAGGCTTCGAGGCTCTGCTTTCCTTTTACAACGACATCTATCGAAGCTCCAGCATCCCAGACGACTGGAACGTGGCTTTGATGATCGTGATTCCAAAGCAAGAATTGCCCGATGACCCTGCCTCACTCAGGCCGCTGGCTATGGGCAGCGCTGCAGCTAAGGTCTACAGCCGCCTACTCCTGGGTCGAACGGTGCCGTGGCTGGATGCGAGAGAGGGGGCCCAGTGCAGCGGGGAAGGGCAACAACCTGCGGAGTATATCTTCGGGATGGCCAGGGTCATGGAACTTGAGGCTGAATGGCATCGGGGCCTGGTGGCAGCCAAGATAGATATCCGTAAGGCTTTCGACATGCTGCACAGGCCGGCCTTACTCAGCCGCCTCAAAGTCGCTTTGGGGGACGGGCCCACCTTTCGCAGTTGGCAGGCTATGCTGAGCGATACGACAGCGGTTCTCCAAACCGGTTGGGGAAGCACCAGACTCCAGCTTGATCGTGGGATAAGGCAGGGATCTGTAGAATCAATCGCCCATCTTGTTTGGGTGGCTGGCTGCCGTTATACTTCATGATGTCAAGCTGGCGAACAGGTGGGAGGACAGACACAGAATTTATGACCAAATGTCTTGCCAGGACCTCTTGTTCATGGATGACGGCTTGCTTTGGGCGGACTCACCACGAGAGGTTTCCAGGAGGTTGCAAGAGTGGGCGAGTGAGCTGGAAAAGCATGGACTACAGCTCAATCCAGCCAAATGCAAGGTCTACATGTCTCCCTACAGCAACCCTGCTGATCCAGTTACAGTTAATGGTGCTGTGATACCCAGGGTCGACACTCTCGAAGTGATGGGTGTCCCGCTTAAGGTTGGAGCCACGGGGTCGGACCTCATCGCGCCCTTGATCGCACGAGGCAAAGAGAAGTTTTGGTCGCTCAAGCACCTCTTCAGGGCACGCACGCCGCTTGCAGGATGCCTTCGCCTCTTGGACAAGATCGTTGGAGGGACATCGCTGTGGTGTCTGAGCGCCTTGGCGCCGGATGTGTCAGCCCTGGCTCTGCTCAACAGCATGCAGTTGCAGTGCGTCGTTTGGGCCATGAGGGTTGGCAAGCGCAGGGAAGAGGGATGGCTCAGTTTCAAGCAGCGCTCGTACCGAGGTGCCAGACAACTGGTTTGGAATGTGCTCCGAAAGCGCTGGTCTACGACGTGGCTGGAGAGGTGGTGGAACTTCGCAGGGCATAGGGCTAGGGCTTCTGACCGAGAAGTTGTGCCACACGCAGCAGTCATTGACAACTACCGGAATCGAGTGTGGTGGACTAGGGAACAAGCGCTTATCAGTGGAGTTCGGCATCCGAGGCACTATCCCAAGTTGTCCAATCTCGAGAGGGATATGGACAGAGCAGCGGGAGGCCTGCCGTGGAGAGGGGTTGCGAGGGACAGGGTTCAGTGGGTCACTCGGCGAGCCGATTGGATCAGAAACATGGATCTACCGTGGGCTGGCAGCAGACAGGAACGATTGCAGGGGTGAAGGGTTGCCTTGCAGAACGAATGAAGATTGACCATCTGAATGCTCTGCAGCGTGCTGGATAACCAGACCATACCCCGTGCGCTTTCCTTGCCTTGCTCGCGCCCGTGCTCCTCGGCATGGCGCTGCCCTGCCTTGCGGCCCTTTCTGCGCTGTTCGCGGCGCTCGCTGGTGCCCCCTTTGCGAGATCTACCCCGACGGACAATCGTCTACGCCCCTCGCGCAGAATGACCACCGGGACCCTTGCACTACCCCAGCCGCGGCCCCTTCGCTGAAGCTCGACCGGCCCTGCACAAGCCCTGGCAAAGGGCTCGTGATGAACACGAACGACCTCGACCTGGACACCCGGGACTATATGCACACCTTCCCGCCGGGCAAGTACGCGTGCTACCTGCACACCGACGGGCTCATGACGGACACGAACGACCTCTCCCTGGAGGCCCGGGAGGACACCCACAGCCTCATGCAAACGACGGTACCGGACAGGATGGACAGGTGGGCCAAGATGTTGGACGACCTACGGCATGATTTGGAGATGTTGGACAAAGCGGATCGGGCTCAGGCCGCGGTGCAGCTTCTTCGTTGGCTTGACTTTCGGGCTACTAACAGCGAGGAAGGCTACTGGCTTGGCCATATGCAGGGTCGGCCTGCCGACCTTACGGCTTTGTTGGTGGTGGCGCTCGCTGACACGGGTGTTGACCCCGACACACTCACCAACCCGTGGTGCTCCTCGTGGGTCCTCGAGACACGACGCCGACTACAAGCCTATATCCCGTGCCATGAGGGGTCCAACGAGTGTTGGGGACGACCGATCTCTACAGGCATGCCGCCCATCATGCACTTTGGCAGGCCGCCTCCTACATCCACTCCTCCTTCTTCCCCAGGCTTGAGTGCAGTAGTGGAGATTGACGAGGAGGAGCCCTGTTCGAGCCGAACTAAACGCCGCTGCCTCACGCTGGAACTCAGCTCCGGCTCAGCAGACAGACCCAGGGTTTCTCGGACACTCACGGTGCCTCTTCAGGAGAATGAGCACACCTTCCAGCTAAGGGTCAGTGTTGGAGAACAAGAAGACAGCGAGGCCAGTACTCGATTGCTGACGCCAGCGCCTCGCCGAGAACCCGCCGCTGCTCTTCGCCCCGCTGCATTTCGGTTGCCCGACCCCGCCCCGGGCGATCTGGCCGCGGCTGGTTTGTCCATGCGTGATCTTCTTGGGTTGTGGAGCGGCTGGAGATCGGGGGCAATGCAGGAAGAGGACATCGAGAGAGTGCACGGGCAAGCTGCTGCTCGGTTTGTGCGTGAACACTGGGGCTACCTCCCACACGAGGCCTACGTGCTCCCCACCCTCTACCCGGACCAGACTGAGGCGGACGACCTGCAGGTAGCGCCTTCCACAACGGCCGATGCGGCGCCGAATGACGAGGAACCAGGCGCAGCCCCTTCACATACGTTCAGCAGGGAGATGAGACCGCTCTCCTGATGGTCTTTGTCCGCGTTTTCCCTGCCCTGGCCGCGGTCGGTGCGCCGGAAGTCCCCGTGGTGTGCGAGCTGACGGCCGGCTGCCAGGTGGATTGCTCGTCTACGACGCCAAGGGTTGGAGAATGTCCTCCTGACCAGCTTCCTCTTGGTTCGTGCCCAAGAACGCGAGTGCTACGACTACATGGACGATTGGGAAGGCATCATGTTGGAGCTGGGATTGGAACCTGAGGGTGATTTC